TAACTATAGTACAATATACCCCCAAACCCTATTCTAATTATTAAGGCCCCTATAGTACTAATAGTATCCCCCGAAGTCCTGTTCTGAAAGGCAGTGCGCCCAAACATCATCAGCTACTCCTCCGCCGTCACTGCCTGTGAGAAGGCGAAGCAGGTCCACCCGCCTCCTCCCAACCAGTGCTCGGCTCTACAGTACTACGAGAATAGGTTATTGTTTTCGGGTTCTGGAGTGAGGGCTTTATGATAAGAACTAGTCAGTGCTTTGTGTCTAGACTCATGTGATCATATGTCCATATACATATATATACACACATATATATATATATAAGTATTTACGTGCACACACCCATATATATATATATATATATATACATATGTATGTATGTATGTATGTATGTATGTATGTATGTATGTATGTATGTACGTCGTAGAATACTTGCAGGTATCATGCATATTTGTAATTGTGCGGTTGCTAACCAACGCCTGCGAACACAAAACCTACCGCATACGGAAGCCAGTGATTATGATGACCTTTAGGCCCGTGCAAAGCAGGACCTGCTGGAATGTCTCGAACTTCGGTGGATCCCTAACCCCTAAACCCAAAACCCTAAACCCTAAACCCGCGGATGGGCATGTTGAGCATCTCAAGACCTCGAACCCTGAGATGACACCCAAGGAGGGTTCAGAGACGTAAGGCTTATGTTTCGACGTCTTTGGCATTTAAGAGGTCACTGCCCTAAGCGCCACAGGCTGTGGAATGCCTTTGGAACATAAGTTAGCTGCGGAGTTCGACACGAATAAAAAGGATTTGGCTGGAGATGTCCAGGCTACAAAAGACACCCTTGTCTTCCAAAACGGGGCCTGAAGACTCTTGTCTAAACTTCATCACCATCAATGTAGAGGGACACCTGGGCCAACATAACCGAAGCAAGATTTGTCAGAAGATAGGGAACCCTTACATACAGAACCCTAATCAGCCCACATGCCTCGCCTGAAGCCCTAAACAGCAGTTCAAACCCAGAGGCCCCGGACCCTAGCACCCTACTTGGAGGTTCATGGGTAGTTATAAGTGGGGTTATAAGTCCCCTAGTATGGGTTATAATTACAGTTACCCTACTTAGAACCCCACTTCTAACTACCCATGAACCTCCAAGTAAACACCGCAAACCGAGACTTGGTGCCCTGGCATTACCCAACCGAAACCTTGAGCAGGAGCCATTTTGTAAATTGGTTTCAGTCCATGTCAACCTATACAGAGTTTAGGGGCTGAGAGGTTTCGGGTTTAAGGCATTTGAGGTTAGGGGTTTCGGGCTGACAGTCTTGATCAGGACCCTTTAAAGAGTTGTAGCTTCAGGTCGAGGACGGTGATTTCGGGGCAGAAGGAGGACCCGCTCAGAGATTGGCGGGAGTTTCTTCAAACATATCTGTGTCTTCGTAAGCAGTATCTTACGACTTAGGTGTTTATCATCAGTAGGACCCCGTATGTTCGGAAACACAGGCTGTATGTAGCCCGCATTTAGCTACCGATGAACACATGGAGCCTGCCTACAGGCTTTGATACTCAGGGCTTGCATCAGTCACGGGGTTTAAAGAATGCAAATACAGCTTAATTCCTGAATCCAGGTGCGGCGAAAATAGTGTTGTTGGCATTGCTTCATTTCCGTACTGTAGATTTTTGGCTCGAGCTTGTGGAATTGACCGTACGTCAAAAGTATTTCATCTTGCTCATAGAATTCTGAAGTTCGGAGTCAGGATTGGTGTGACATGGCATGTGGTCTTGGTTCTTACCCGGATTCTTACCCAGACCCTTAGTCGCTCGTCCTGTGCGGCTGCCCACTTGCATTGACTTGGTCTGATAGGGCAACTAGCACGACGACCATGCAAGCTAGGATGTTCAGGATCCTTCAGCACGGAGGCGTGTGTAGGATGCATGATGACGGGCTTGGACACGTCGATACAGAGCGCCGCGACATGTGGACCCTCCCCAGCACTCTATGAAACACAAGCTGTTCTTGCTGCTATTAGAGATGAAGAAATGTGACGTGATGATGTATGTTGTTTGGAGGTTCTGATTAAGCCGTGCAAGAAGCTATTTTTGGGCCGTTACCCGACCGATCTGACTCCGATCTGTGTCAGAGTAATTGACGTGTAGAGGTGATTCTAATTGATTCTAATGTATGTGACGACTTGGATGTGGATTTGCGTGATGACGACGATGATGCTGCTGATGACTCAATCATGGGGAGGATGGCGATGACGACGACGACGGTGAGTATGGTCATGAGGAGATCGAAGAGGAGGAGGAAGAACCGAAGTCGTCTATGCACGATACGTGACACGCAATGCCGCCAGTCTGCGCCACAGCGTTGTGACCCCCCAAAAAGACCCGACTGTCGCTCTGTGGCCATTATCTTGGGTTTTGCCCTCTGACCCACTCAGGGCGCTGGGATCTCGCGCTCCACCTCTTGCAAAGCCACAATGAGAGCCGTCTGGAGGCCGAGCAGAGTGCTAGAGACACAAAGCCAAGTTTGGAACGACAATAACAAAGATGAGAAAGCAGCGTGATGGATGGACTGCGCTTACCTCCGTAACTGTAGCCCTGCCTTCCTTCGCTGCACCGTTAGAGCTTGACTATCGCATGCTGCTCTGTGCAGAGACTTTTTCGGGTGTCCAATAAACGGCAGTTCCGTTGCTGCTTCACTGGAACCTAACCCCTGGTAGAAAGGACCCTGCCTATAGTTTCCGTTGTGTCCTTGGGGTTGGTTAACCAGTTCCATGGTGAGGATCCTGAAATTTGAACTAGGTTAACCGAAAAAGGAACTAGGTTAACCAAAAAAGGAACTACACTGGAGTGCAAGGGTAATGCTGAAGTCCTAAGCCAACGCCTGTGCGACGTACAGCGCTCCTCGACTGCCTGCAAAAACCATGCCCTGCCTTCTGGTTCATTGTTTTAACGTTGTTCTTGCGATGCTTGTTGAGGCCGGGCTCATCAGCCGCAACAGAGTGATCAGTGCTTGTGCAGCTGCAGGGTGCTGGCCGCCTGTTTTCGTTATGGTGCTTGGTGCGGATAGGGAATACGGGGCCGGGGTGAAACGGGCCAGTGTTACTCAGTGTTACTTGAGCAGTTTGGCAAGGTGTCTGCGCAGCGGTATCAACATGCTGCATCTCTTTTTTGACTGACCGTCGAGGATTCGCTCATGCTGTGTGCATCATGCAGTCCCCTCAGGCCTGGCCATCATCTCCCCAATCCAACGACCGAAACTTGAATAAGGTGCAGGGGTGACACCTGAAAATCGAAGGATACAACGACAGTTGCGTGCACCCAGTATCTGAGTCTAGTAGTTACAGACCTCTTCATATGCAGTGAGTACGTAACTCTCGACTGGCCTAAGCCCGGTGCCTGGCCGAGTGTGAGCGCCGAAACCCTGCACTTTACTATATAGCATAAGGGCCTATACTATTTTGGGGCTTCTCTATTATAACTCGAATATAAATATATAATATAATATAATATAATATAATATAATATAATATATATATATATATATATATATTCCCCCCCTCCAAAGATCTACCCGGTTTGGCTTTCGTCGGAAAAAATCCCCTTAAATTTGACTCCATTAGTCCGAAA